GGGGAAAGCGGGCGGGGGCAGCGGGGGCAGTGGGGGGGTTTGGGCATGCGCTGGAGCCGTTAAAACACTACATTCCAGGTTAGGGCTGGGGGTAAGGGTCGAAGGCATGGGAAAGCGGGCGGGGGCAGCGGGGGCAGCGAGGGCAGTGGTGGGGGGGTTTGGGCATGCACTGGAGCCCTTAAAACACTACATTTCCAGGTTAGGGATGGGGGTAAGGGGTGAGTTAGCTTCGAAGGCATGGGAAAGCGGGCGTTTGGGCATGCACTGGAGCCCTTAAAACACTTCATTTCCAGGTTAGGGGGCGGCGGGGGGGGGGGGGGCGGGGGCAGCAAGGGCAGCGGTCGGGCATGCTCTGGAGCCCTTAGCCCCTAAAACAGGTGCGGGCGGGTAAGGGGCGGGGCAGCGGGGGGGCATTTCATTTCCAGGTCAGGAGGTCAGGGGTGGGGGGAGTCTAGAACAGTGCAAAATGGGGGCGGCGGTGCGGGGGCAGCAAGGGCAGCGGTCGGGCATGCCCTGGAGCCCTTAGCACACCTCATTTCCGGAAAACCCCTAAAACAGGTGTGGGCGGGCAAGGGGTGCGGCAGCGGGGGGGAGCGGGGGCAGCAAGGGCAGCGGTCGGGCATGCACTGGAGCCCTTAAAACACTTCATTTCCAGGTTAGGGCTGGGGGTAAGGGGTGAGTTAGCTTCGAAGGCATGGGAAAGCGGGCGGGGGCAGCTGGTGCAGCGGGGGCAGCGGGGGGGGGGTTTGGGCATGCACTGGAGCCCTTAAAACACTTCATTTCCAGGTTAGGGCTGGGGGCAAGGGGTGAGTTAGCTTCGAAGGCATGGGAAAGCGGGCGGGGGCAGCGGGGGCAGCAGGGAGGGTTTGGGCATGCACTGGAGCCCTTAAAACACTTCATTTCCAGGTTAGGGCTGGGGGTAAGGGGTGAGTTAGCTTCGAAGGCATGGGAAAGCGGGCGGGGGCAGCGGGGGCAGCGGGGAGGGTTTGGGCATGCACTGGAGCCCTTAAAACACTACATTTCCAGGTTAAGGGTAAGGCATGGGAAAGCGGCGGGGGCAGCGGTGGCAGCGCACTGGAGCCCTTAAAACACTTCATTTCCACACAGTGGGCCCTTTTTTTTTGAATAGGCAACTTATAAGTCACTTCTAAGTCGATAGCCAAAAGGGCTGTTTTGCTAGAACCCACTTATAACTTTGCTATCTTTAGTTAACTTGTGTATGTAAGTTAGAGGTGACTTAGAGGTAAGGCTATCTTTTTGCGTCTGTTTTGCATCTTTTTTTGTATCGATTGCTATCTTTTTTCAGTGTTCGTCGCAGTCGCGGGAGCATGCAAGGCAGCGGGAGGGGTGGGCGGGAGTGGGGCATGCACTGGAGCCCTTAAAACACGCCAGTCTGACAGCAAGGCAGCGGGTGGGCGCCAGTCCAGCGGAGGGGGTCGGGGTGGGAAGGGCGGGGGGAGTGGGGGGGGTGGGGGGGCGGGGGGGGCGGGGAGGGGGTCGGCAAGGGGAGCGGGGGGGGCGGGGGGGGCGGGGGCAGCGAAGGGAGGGCTCGGGCATGCACTGGAGCCCTTAAAAACACTCCATGAGAAAGTCATTGCATCTATCGGGGACTGTACAGAAAGTCTCCATGCCTCAAACATAGTGTCTTCAAATCCTTGGCAATATCGGCACAAGGTCCCCTTTACTATCCTAGGATATCTTGAGGAAGCTCGATGGAAAGGCCAGTGCGCTGCAGCCACCTGGGGTCCTAGAGATCTCAGGTGGTAGCGGAGCACTTGGTGGGAGGCTTGGATTCCAGGCCACCCCGGTGCGCACAGTCTTCGCTTTGGAGTCGAGCTGATCATGAATGTTCAGGGAAAAGAAGAGGAGAGGCCTAAGCTAGAGAGGTTTGACGGGACGCAGCCAGCAACGTATCGCAAGTGGAGAAGAAAGGCGGAGTTGATGTTGCTGGCCTTACCGACCACCTACTCGAAGGATCGATGGGGTGCCAAGCTGATGGAGTTTCTATCGGGCGAAGCAGAAGAAGTGTGCGAAGGCATTGCGCTCGAGAAGATCATCAAGGAAGGTGGCCACGAAATCATCTTCGAGACTTTGGATGGTCGCTACAAGGACTTGCAGAAGGACGCCTTGCAAAAGCACTTGACGGAGTACTTTTATGGGACAAGCATCAAGGCTGGAGAGAGCTACAGGAACATGACCATTCGCCTGGAGACAGCATACCGCAGACTGCAAGAGCACAAGGTGGAGCTGCCAGATGAAGTGAGAGGCTGGTTCCTGCTGCGAAAGCTTCAGCTGGAGTCTCAGGCAGAGGCCATGGTGCTCACCCATACTCGTGGGTCCCTCAAGTACGCAGACGTGAACAGTGCAGTGCAAGCGATCTTTCCACAAGGATGTGCTAAGACTGGTGGGGGCAAATCTCGAGAAGTGTTTGAGACTGAGCTCCTCGAGGAACCTGGCGAGACGAACCAGGAGACGGATGAGCTGGATGGAGACGACGTGTTCCAGGTCATCGCCGACCAGATCCAGTCCCAGGAGACCTACGACGACGAGGAGGCGATCGAGGTGTTTGAGTCCTACCAGGACATCCGGCGGAAAATGCAGCAGAAGAAGATGGCCCGCGGCTACAAGGCAACAGGCACAGGATCGACATGGACTTTGTCGGGGACAGTGCGTGGCAAGATTGAGCAGCTCAAGGCGCGGAGTCGTTGCCACATCTGCCAGGAACGTGGACATTGGAAGCGGGAGTGTCCAAAACGTAAGCCCGGAGGAGCACAACAAGCAAGTGGAAAGCAGAGTCAGGCAAGCGCAAAGACCAGTCAGACCAGCGAGGCCATGATCATGGACAGTGGTGGTGGCAGCGCCATGGACAATCTGAACCAAGAGTACTTCCTCGAGGCAGAAGACATCGTCAAGTTGGACACCTTTCTGGCAGAGCAATGCGGCCAGAGGGAGGGTGGCCCAGCAGGCTTAGATGTCCTGCATGCTGATGGCGAAGAAGTGAGAGGGGATCTTGGGCAGAGTGTTTTTGAGTTTTTCCAGAAGCAAGGTCACGCATCGGGCAGCGAGGCATACATGGCCGATCTTGCTACTCATGGGGTTCCAGACACTGCCTGTAGACGAACACTCATAGGTGAAGCAGTTCTACAGCGCATGTCTGAAGTACTGGGAAGGGTTGGGCTGCAAGTTAGATTCGTGAGAGAGAGGCATGAGTTCAAGTTTGGCAATGCCGGGTTGATTCAGACGGACAGAGCAGCCATCATTCCAGTACGGTTAGGAAGCCGACAGCTAGCAATAAAGGCAGCTGTGCTGCCTGGTAGTGGCTCTGAAGCTCCACTGCTTCTTTCCAAGGAACTCTTAAGGGGTTTAGGAGCTACCTTGGATATGGGGAGTGATACTGTTGATATCACGAAGTGTGGGGTTAAGCTTAAGCTTCATGAAACGGAACGAGGGCATTATGCCATTCCTCTCTTCGAGGGTATGGGGATTCACGGCAAGCGTGAGGTGACACAGAATCAGGATGTGAAGACGCACATGAGAGATGACGCCGAGATTTTTGGTTCACAAAAGTCGCCGCCGGTAGCCGTGCATCTTGCTGAAGGAGATCAGCGCCATGAGCTATCCGAGCACCGATGTGGAGATGCAGGGCGCGAACAACTTCGTTCAGACCCCTCTGATTGCCGGCTTGATTGCCGAGGTGCAGCCGCAGTTGGAGGCGCAGGACCAGGTGGAGCTGAGTGCGTCGATCCTGGATCAACTATCAGATCACGAAGAAGACGCGCCAGAAGGGCTCGTGCCAGGGCTAACAGGGCGAATCATCTTCAACGTCGGGAAGTATCAGAAAGCAGGCGCAGCGGTGAACTTTGCGACGTCCTATCTCACCGACAAGAGCTACGTGGCGTGGGTGCGGAAGTTCGTGAAGTCAGGCCCAGATGCAGCGGGGAAGTCATCGCATCCGACAATGACACAGTTCCGACTGTACGTGGCCTTGAGAGATCAGCGCAAGTCGCAGAGAATCCAGAGAGGGTCGGAGCCAGAACCAGCGCTGACAACACCGTGTCGCACAACGAGAGCAGTGACCGCAATGAACTTGGGAGCATCCCCCAAGGCGAAGAGCAGTCCAAAGCCGAAGCCATCGCCCACAACAAGGCGTACAGTTACATCGAGTCGAAGCCGCCAGAGTGCAGACAGGGCAGATGTGACGGAGCTAGAGACCGAGCATGCGGAGACTCCTTGGTTGCTGATGCCACATCCAGAGGAGACAAGGATGTCGCGCACGGAGAGCGAGAGGCGCCGCCAGTTGCTGATGAGTCAGATCGAGGCCCTGCACCTCGAGCTGGAGCGCCTGAACGAGGAGGGCCAGGATTAGCCGATGGTGAGGTCTCAGAACCCAAGCGCATGAGCCAGGGTGAACGGAAGCTGTGTAGGCGTGGCATAGCCAGATGCAAGGACTTAGAGAGCGGCGTGTGTGAGGTTCAGGGTGGCATGGATGTGTTGCTGTTGGAGGGCAGTGAGGAGCTGTCTATGATCACGGCAGTAGGCCTGAGCTCAGACTATATTTTTGCACAAGGCGAACTGTCGTCCAGTTCCCTGTCTTTAGGCGATTGTGTCAGCCATGCCATCGAGAAAATTCGGCAATGCAGACCCCAAATGCTAGTCATTAGAACCCCAAAGTGTCTGAGCGGTGGAGTGCACAAACGCAGCAAGCAGTTGGTGCGTGCAAGTCAACGGCAATGTGCATTCACGAGGTTGGTTGCTGCGTGCTGTAGCGAGCAGTTGTGTGAGGGTAGGCTGTTCTGTGTGTGGGATGAAAGTGGAATCTTGCAGAGCGGTGTGAAACGTTGGTGCAAGGTTGTTGCCGAAACCGAGGTGTACAGCATGAAAATAGGAACGAGTGGCAGCGTGCACACTAACAGTAAAGAAATCAGGCCGAGAATGAGGCAAGGTGAGACACAGAAACACAACGCAGAGGCTGATGATGCGGCATCCACGTGTATGAAGTGTGTAGCGGTTGCTTTGCTTGATCGAAAGCGCGCGCGTCTTGAGGTGCATGCTTCCCACTGCGTGTTTACCATAGAAGAGTTGAGAGAGAGTGGAGAGGAGAGCGAGAAAAAGGTCATGTCATTGCTTCGAAAGTGTCATGAGAATCTGGGTCATCCTTCTCCTGCTCGTTTGGTCATGTTGTTGAAGTCGGCGCATGCAAGTGAGAGAGTTCTGAAATTGGCTAGAGGTCTTGAGTGTGAAACGTGTAGCGCTTTGAGCCGTCCCAAATCCCATAATGTGACTAAGATGCGCAGGGCTACGGAGTTCAACCAGCAAGTGTGCATTGACACGTTTGAGCTTGATGTGAGACATGCTAAAGTGCATTTCTTGAATATCGTTGATGAGGCCACCGGGTTTCAGATGTGCACTCCGTTGTGGAAGGGTATGCAGGCTAGACATGTGCGAAACGCATATCGCAAGTCATGGAAACGATGGGCCGGGCCTCCTGTGAGACTGTTCTGTGACGGGGGCAAGGAGTTTGAAGGGGAGTTCGAACATGGGCTTTCGTTGGATGGCACTTTTAGCGACGCGTCGGCTGCATATGCTCCATGGCAGAATGGACTTGTGGAAAGAAAAGGGGCTGTTTGGAAAGCGGCTTATTCAAAGGCTCAGATGGAGACGTATCCTAGAAGCAAACAAGAAACCCAAGAGCTCATTGATCAGGTCAACAATGCTGTGAACAGTATGTCACGTGTTGAAGGGTTTTCGCCTTTTCAGCATGTGTTTGGTAGAGATTTGAGGGTGCCTGGCATGATTAGTTCCGACTATGATCCGGTCATCAACTCGTCGCTGGCGCAGGGTGAGAGTGTGTTTGAGAGAAGAATGGAGCTGAGAAAGGCAGCAAGAAGGGCCTTCCTTGATGCTGATGCCGAGAACAAGTTGCGCAAGGCAATGGAGCATCGGAATCGTCCTGAGAGGGGTCCTTTTTCTGAGGGTCAGCTGGTGTATTTTTGGAGAAAGAGTCGATTTGAAACCAGGCATCATTGGCATGGACCGGCTGTTGTGATAGGGAAGAGCGGTAGCTCCAAAGTTTGGGTAGCTAAGGGAACGAAGGTGTACCGATGCTGCCCTGAACAGCTGCGAAGTTTATCGCCCGAGCAAGAGGCCATGATTAGATTGCTGCCAGCTGATATGGTGCATGTACGCAATGAGGTCAGTGCGAAGGGTGCTGGGAACTTTTATGATTTGAGCATGCTTGACAAGCCACCAGATTCGCACGTAGAGGAAAGATCTGAGCAGGACGAGCGTGAGAACGCAGTAGCAGCTCCTCCGATGGACTTGGTGTCAGGGCATGAGAATGCAATAGCATCTCCCCCGATGCAGTTGGAGTCAAGCCCGGATCAAGCAGTTGAGTTGGCCGTGCTCCCTGAACAGCGCCCTAGGCGTGAGGATCCTAGAGATGATGATGCTGGAGACGTCTCTCCAAGCAAAAAGCAAAGGGTCGAGCCTGAAGTGACGCCCTTGACGCGTGCTATGCGTGCAAGTACGGAGTTGCTAGACCATGGTCGTAGATTGAGCGCGAGAGCTGAGTCCTCACAGAGGCCTTCTGAGATCCCTGTGCCTGAGGACGATGAAGATGATCTTGAAGTGATCGTCGTTGAGGGTCAAGATCATTGGGTGATTGACCATTCGCATTCTCGCTTGGTGCGTGTGCATGTTGTGGAAAGATGCGTGCCTTGGAGTCCGTCTGACCATGAGTTGCCTGTTCGCGTGGAAGATGTGGAGTTGGTCTGTCAGTCTGTGATGTATACCAGAAGTGGTGAGCGACACACGCGTGATTACGAATGGCGCAACGTGATGCGCGAATCAAGTACAGGGGTTGGAAAATGGACAGGGCAGACTGTGTTTCAGCTCAAGCCAGGTTGGTCGCGACAAAGTGCATCATCGATCGAGTGCTTTGAGGTTGGTGCAACGAAGAAGGGCCGAAAAGAAGTCATTGAGTCCGAGCTGAGTCAAAATCAGCAAGCGGGTCTGAAGAAGGCCAAGCTCAAGGAGTGGAACAAGTTGTTGAAAAGTGGAGCGATTGTTGTTCACACGGGTCGCAAGGCAGCTCAGTTGAGGAAGTCTGTGCCTCGAAAGCGCGTCTTGAAATCGAGATTTGTTGTAACTGAGGCTGAACAGGGATCACACCCTGACACGTGTGATTTGAAGGCCAGATGGTGCATTCGAGGCTACCTTGATCCAGATGTGTTGGAGCTTGATACGAGCGCTCCAACCTTATCCGCAGAAGGATTCGCAGTCGCAATGCAACTAATCGCGAGTCATGGCTGGCAATTGACAATTGCCGATGTTGAGGGTGCATTTTTGCGAGGTGACAACTTGAGTCCACAGCGCGGAAGATTGTTTATTGACATGC